CCACTTTTCCTCACTGTTGTAGACTGCGCCTACAAGAGCAGGGCGAATGCTAGGAATGTGAGGGGATATGCAATGCAAGAAGCATGGCCGAGAACGAGGAATGCGAGGATAGCATGACATATGCAAGAGACTCAGTAACAGCACAAACCAGGTTGGTGGAGAATGCAAATACAAAAAATTTTTACAAGCCATGTCCAGCCATGGCTGTCGTGTTGTGCGACTTCTGAGAACAATCACAAGCATCAGCAATCAATAATGATTTTCAACCATGCATGCGTGAGTTTTTACCTCATAGTATTGCTAGTGTCACAGATGCTTCTTCTCCTCTGGAAAAAACTTAAAACATCGACTCCGATACGATGTAATCCACACCTGGAGGGTAAGGGGTTGGGGCGACACACACAGAGCATTCATTTTTTTCATGAGGAGAGGAGATGATAGGATAGAGAGGAGGGAAGGGGGGAGGGGGAGGGGATGGGATGGGAGGGGAGAAAGAAGAGAAGAAAAGAATAAACATAGTGGTAGATTTGAAGAAAGAGAGGAAGAAGCGGATGTGAAAGAGACGGAATAGTAAGTGATGGTTTAAACACAGGGAAAGGGGGATAAGGAGGGAAATGGAAGGGGGAAAGGAAAGAGGTTGGGAAAGGAAGGGAAAAAGAGAAAAAAGGGGGAAAAAGGAAAACGCAAGGAGAGAGGGAAAAATACGGCAATTGTCAAACTCACTATCTCCATTCGCTATATTCTTCCCCTCTCTCCTTGCCTTTTTCTTTTTTTCCACTCGTTCTTTTTTCTTTTCCCTTTCCAATCCCCTTCTACACCACCATCCACCATCCACTTACAATTTCGCCTAATTCTATCCTTCTCCTCCTCGCTTTCTTCCTTCAAATCCACCACTACCCTTTACTCTTCAAAATTCACCATCTCCACCCACTCCTCTTTTTTCCACCTTACATTCACCTCTCCTTTTTTCCGTTTTTTCCTCATCCTGCCATCCTCCGTTCCCTCCGCTCCCCCATCGCCTCCCCTACATCCTTACCCCCCCCTCTCTCTTCCCCATCAGCACAGATAACACCTCCTCTTCCGCATCCCCATGCTCTCCAGCCCAACCGCTCTCATCGCAATCACCCATCCACCCCTTCACACTCTCCATCCACTAGTCCACCGCCCATCCTTCCCCGTCACCGCCCACTCCTTATTCACTAGCGCCGCGCCTGCTGATCCAGCTTCTCCCCCGTCTTTATCCCAAATGCAGCATCCCTCTCTTCGACAAGAGCACGGGAAACGCGCCGCAAGGGGTGCTCTTGGGGAGAGCATGAGGCCAAGGGGGAGGGGGTCCCCTAGTCAAACTCCACTTCTTAAAAGAGAAGGAACTTCGTTTCTTACACCCTGGGGTTCATCCGCAACGCTTGCAAAGATCTGCTCATGGTTAGATGCAAAGCAGGGCAAAGGGGTTGGAAACAACTATGTCAGGGGATATGCAAGATGTATGACCTGTGCGAGGGTGAGGCACGCAAGGATGGCATGGCATATGCAAGAGATTCAGTAACAACACGAACTAGAACTAACGAGGTTGGTGGAGATGCAATACAAGAGAACAATCACAAGCCATGTCTGGCCATGACTGTCGTGTTAGCATTAGCAATCAACAATGATTTTCACCCATGCATGTGGGAGTGCCCACAGACGTTTCTCCTCCTCTAGAAGTTTCTTAACACTGATTCCAATATGATGCGCTCCACACGGGGGGGTGACGTTATCCACACCTAGATTGCTGGAAGAGCAATCGAGTTATTTTACGTTTTGCAACGTTTTCAATCTTATATTGCCCACGTGTGTACTATGCCTGAAGACGTGGAACTCACTCTTCCTGTGCCGAGAAAAAATATTAGCAGAAGGTGCTCAATGGAGATGCGAAAAGTAAGGAAGCGACAATTCGGCTGGTGGAAGGAACGAGCAGCAATCCACCAGGAACGGAAGCTGGAGAAAGACCTGTTGAGCTGGAGTCGTCTGAAGAAAGCCGGATTGAGTTGGAGAAAGGAAGGAAGGTGAAATCACAGACAACTCCTTTTTTTTCTCCAACTCAACCACCTCTTTCGTCAGACGACTTCAACTCATTAGGTTTTTCTCCAACTTTCGTTCCTGGTGGATGACTGCTCGTTCCTGTCTCCAGTCGAACCGCCCCTTCCTCACTCTACTCATCTTCAATGAACGCTTCGGTTGGTGGAAATGCACGAACTAGAATGAACCGAGGTTCATGGAGAATGCAAAAATAAGAGAACAAGCACAATTATGTCTAGCTATGGCTACCGTGTTGCGCAACTTCACAAGCATCAGCCATGCATGCATGCATGCTTACCTCGCAGTAGTGCGAGCGCCATAGGCGCTTCTCCTCCTCTGGAAGCTTCTTAAAAACCGACTCTAATACGATGTACACCACACCTGGAGGGTGATGGGTTGGGGCGACACACACAGAGCATTTAAGTTTTCCATGAGGAGAAAGGAGAGGATAGGATAGAGAGGAGGGTAAAGTAGGGTAGGGTAGGGGAAGGGAGGGGAGGGGAGCGAGAGGAGGGAGGGGAGGGGGAAGGGAAGCAGCGACAAGATGGAGAGCAGAGGAGGAGAGAAGAGAGGAGAAAGGAGGGCGAGAGGAGACGAGAGAGGAAAGGCTGGTTTTCGCGAGGACAAAAGAGGGTAAATTGAGATAACTGAGCTCAACAACGATGCGAGCGTTGGCCCTGGTCACTGTCAAAGACGATGCACTGCAACACGCCCTCGCGCCACCATCCACCCAGCCGGTAACCACCCAGCCGGTAACCAAAGGTTGAGTTGGTATAGGCGCGAGAGCCTGGCAGCAGAGGAAACAGCAACACTCACCAACAATGCGTGCGTTGGGCTGGTCACTAAAGAAGACGATACACTGCAACACGTCCTCGGTTAGGCAAGCCACGAGGTGGTGCGTCTCGATCATGCGCCCAGGGCTCTGCGCGTAGTGCGCCCACGTGCTCACGTGCTGGCAGAAGGACTTTAAAACGGGCGGAAGGACTGCAGAAGCGAGGCGGTCGTTTCAAGTGCGGATGTTGCCATGAATGGGGCTTCGCCCGGCACTTGATGGTAAAAGTACAAGGGAGGGGACGGGCAGGGAGGGTAACACTGACTCTCACGTGCTCACGTGCTGGCAGATTGCCAGATTCCCCATTGATGGCACCTCGCTCGGGACCTGGGAGGGGAACGGGAGAGTACTAGATGGAGAGAGAGAGCCGCAAGTGAAGCAGTGAGTGCTCACGAGGTGGAGATGTGGAGTAGGTGAGTCTGCTGCACCTCACTCTCTCCATGGAGGAATTCGGCGCTCACGAGGTGGAGAATTCCCATGCGAGGGGACTTCGCCCAGCACGTGGGGAAAGGCGGTGGGGAGGGGGATGAGGGGGGTTGGGCGGGAGCACGGGTTAGCGGAGATTATAGGGAGTGCGCAACGGGGGCCAGCAAGAGTTGCGGTCGCGCCAAACTCTTCAGGGAGGTTGCGCAACGGCAGCAGCAAGAGCCTACCTCTTCGGGGCGAGACGGGGAAGGCGACTGACTGCGTGCGTGCTGGTCGCCATGCTGTGGAGCCTGCTGCGCTCGGCTACTGACTGCTTAGCTCGTAGTACCAGGTGAAATCACTGGGTGAAGGAAACGCAACGAAAGCCTCACCGCGACGCTCTAAGGCTCTGCTTTGCCGAGGCCGAGTAATTTACTTGATGCAGTGAGACAAGAGGAGGTTATCTTGGGAGGGACAACCAACACGCCTAGCCAGAGAGACCGACACTCGCAGGAATTTAGGAGGAACAGCTTCTTAGGGCCTCATGGGGGCCGCGCGGGAATCCTGCTGAAGGCATTTTTTGAGGCCTCGATGCCTCCAACGAGTTCGCGGCGCATCCCATGCACTCCCAACCCAATGCCTCCGACTCGCATTTCATCGCATGCGCAGATCGGTTAGTGGGATGCGGCGCGGCGCCATGCACCTCCCCCCGCGACGCCGCATTCCGCTGACCCGCAAATAGTGCCCTGCGGCCTCGCGTGACCCTTCCACGAATGCAGACGCCAGCTAAGAGGGCGCCCGATTCGGTGACACGTGGTGGAAGTTACGACGAGCATGTACTCATTAATACCAGCCTCGGTAGAAAGCAAGCTGAAAGTGAAAGCAGTACTCACAAAATCGATGAAAGTGGAAGTGAAATGGTCTCTGGTTGGGGCGTGTCTCCTCCGCCCATCTGTAGGCTGACCCCCGTTCCGAGCTTCGGCTAGTGCTGGTGTTAATTCGGTAACATCAATCCCAATTGGAATGACATATTCGTCGAAAGCCCGAGACCGAACTTCTGCGAGAGCTGTGCGAATTCGCTCATGTCGCGAATGCTCACAAATATCTGTGGTGTACTTGGTAGGAAGTTAGGGATGTTGCTTCGTCGTGAGGTATAACCTGCTTCTGCGTTCGGTTTCTTTTTTCCTGTGTACCGCTGCCCCGCACTTGTGCCTCGTTTGCATCGCACGCCGCGCATGGCTCACAAGTCACAGCAGCGAGGGGGCAGTGCATGTGCTCTCCTGTTCCTTTCCGCACCTGTCATGTCATCGCCTCTGCACGCTCCGCTTTGCGCCTCGCGCTTGTCCTTCACTCTTCGCGTTCCTCAATTCCTCGATTCCTCGCGCTGCTCTGTGGTCGCAACCCTCCCATCTCCTTTCTCAATTCCTACGCACTTCCCACTTTTCCTTTACGCGGTAACGCCACTTCCACAACATGATGCGGCCGTGCCGGCGCCGCAGGACTCGCGGCAAGATTTGCTGGTGCGGCTGGGGTCGCCGTCGATTGCGGCAATTGAGAGGCGGCGCTGACGAAGATCGTGAAGCGCGCGTTCCACGGCGACGGGCTGGGCGCGGCGGCGGGGAGGACGAAGGAGGGTGCGACGGAGGGTGCGACGGGGGGTGCGACGGAGACGCCGGCGATCGAAATCGGCAGCATCACATGGCGCATGCTCGCAACTTATGACCCTGTGGCCGACAACATGCGCTCGTCGCTGCGCTCCAACCTTTAGGTGACTTATCGCTGCTCCCGTCCGCCTATTTTTGAGTCGACTCTAAAATTCGCTGCTCCCGTCCGCCGTCCTTCCGATTCCTCTCCTCGCGTCGTATCCCCCTCCCTAAAATTCGTCCCCTCATTCGTCCATCAGTCCCACGGGTGCCTTTGACCGTAGCTCCTCACTTCCCTACCCATTTGTCTGTGCCGCCTGCGCTGGTTCGCGCGTTTTGCCGGATGCTAGATGTTACAGTGCTCCAACACATGCTTGCCCTTCCGGAACGACTTTTCAGTGAGCTGGAGCCTCGCAGGCGAGAATCAGTTGCACGGCAGCGCAGCTGGACTCGCCGGCCGCAGTCTACAAGGTCGCCCTCTTCCCCACGGAGGGGAGAGTTTCTGAGTGGACTCGAGAGCGTGTGGTGACGCAGCTGGACTCGCCGGCCGCCATCTACATACAAGGTCACTGTCTTCCCCGCCAAGGCCAAGGTGCTGCTCAGGTGCGCCGCCCGCTGATCCTCCGTATGAAGACGCGCGGATCCGGGATAGCAGAGCTGGGATGGGCGGATCTGGGATGGGCTTATCTGGGATGGGCGGATCTGGGATGGGCGGATCTGGGATGGGCGGATCTGGGATGGGCGGATCTGGGATGGGCGGATCTGGCAGCAAGTTCTAATTGAGTAAGCTCGAATTTAGCTTGAATTTGCATGTCGTTGTAGGTTGCTGCCGTGACATCGACAGGTGGTGATTACTGCCTCTCTCATAGTGCATCGCCTTGATCGTGCTCAAGTCTCGTGTCATTGATTATCTGTATGATTATTCTTATTTTCTGAGGGTGCGTTCCCTCCTCGTTTAGATCTATCGGTTCCTTCGCCGACCATGCATGTAGTCAATGGGCATCCCTTTTTGCTGTCGTTTTTTTCTCTCTCGTTCGGTATCGGGTATTGCGTGCTCGCGCTTCCCTTTGCTCCTTTTTGCTCCTGCCCATGTTGCTACCGGAATTGCTATCGTTTTGCTCTTTCTCCCTCCTTCCTCTTGCTCCCGTGAGTGCTGCAGGTAGTTCACATGCGATCCCTGCACTGTCGCGCCCCTTCACACTGTGGATTCGCTCCTTCGCTTCCCTCCCTCTTGCTCCCGTGCGCGCTGCAGGTAAGACGCGTGCGATCCGTTGTGTTGCGCGCATGCCATACCTTAGGAGGCGCACGTGCTCTTTCCCTTGCTGCCCTTTCATTGTTTTTTCGAGTTTCCTTTATGTTTTGTATCCTTGCTGCTGTCCCGCTCTCTCCCTTGCTGCTGTCCCGCTCTCTCCCTTGCTGCTATCCCGCTCTCTCCCTTGCTGCTGTCCCGCTCTCTCCCTTGCTGCTGTCCCGCTCTCTCCCTTGCTGCTGTCCCGCTCTCTCCCTTGCTGCTATCCCGCTCTCTCCCTTGCTGCTGTCCCGCTCTCTCCCTTGCTGCTGTCCCGCTCTCTCCCTTGCTGCTGTTCTGCTCACTTCCTTGCTGCTGTCCCGCGCACTCCATTTGTAGCTCTAAACCGATTTGACTCAATCTTTTAGCTTGGGTTCCATTGCGTTGCAGGCCCAGTTGGTTCTACCCATCTCTCCTTCCCTCTTTCCTCTGTCCGTAGACTTACGGAATCATGTTGCTATGCTGGCTCGTAGGCCCACACAGCTTAGACAAGCGCCGATGTCGTTCTGGCTCCTCAGGGATTACATAGGATTACCCAACCACTTTTGCTGCCTGTCTATCCTCACGCTTGACAGTGGATATGGTCCTCTCACTCTTCGGACCTCTTGGAGCCGGCCCATCTGTAGCCGCTACAATCCTATTCACGTTCTCCTCCGCCTCATTTCCCACATTCTTCTCTTCTCCCTCCTAGGCAGGAGCATTGGTGCAGAATATTCTGACAGCCACCAGGGCCCTTACCTTTTGCACTCCGCCCCACTTCCCTCACTGCTTTGCTCTGCTGCTTGAAATTTGCTGCACCCTTATCTCCTGTGCTGGTTTTATTCTTACTCCCCTTTCTCAGGTCATCCTGGCCAACTTCCTGCCCCTATCATTGCTGCTTTGTGTGTGTGCAGTGGTAAGTGGTAGGAGGAGCCCTGGGATCCACCATCGGTGCTCGAGTGTTGCTTTAAGGATTCTTATGTGCATCTTGTGTTATTGTGTGTTTTTGAATGGTTCAAGTGGCTTCTATGCTGCTGCTGAGTGGTGTGAGCCCTTTTATGTAGTTTCATAGCTCCTCTCTGCATCATACCATTCGTTTGTCCTGTCCCATTAGGGCCCGATGACAATATCAACATTGTTCTTTATAGTGTGCCCTCGTTATTTCTCGATCCAACCAGATTTGCGAATAGAACAGACCCGAGCGGCGTCAGTAAGTGTGGAGGTGATGTCAGGGGGTAGTTTGAGGGAGAGGTTTACCATTGATCATCTCTATGTTTTTTATGAGCAAGTGAATGAGATGATCCATAGAATAATTTTTTCTTGAACTGTTTGTTTAGCATCACAATGGTTAAAAAAAAACTCCCCTACGGATCATCCTTTTCACTTGCTCACAACACATACGGAAGTGTTCAGGATCAATGGTAGACCCCTCCCTCAAGTTGCTCGTTAACATCACCTCCACACTTACTGACGCCGCTCCGGTCTGTTGTGTTAACAGATCTGATAGTACATGTCCAGACAATTTTAAAACATCAAGTTGTTTGTTGCTTATTGCGATAGTTTTATTAATATCTTTCCCTTTTACAATTCCCTAGGACCCACCCTCCCTTCCCCCCTTGCTTTTTCTCCCCATTCTCCTTTATTTCCCCCGTGGATGCATGTCGCTTTTACCATCAGCCGTCGGATGAATGAGTGTCAACGCGAGCCACGCACGCATGCCTCATCCACCCACGCGAGACGGACAGCTATGGGGAAGAACAGTGGAGGAGAAATGCGGTGGGTAGTGTAGCGGACGGAAGGGGTGGATATGGAAGGAGGGACTGGATACATTCATGTGTAGGCATCTTTGAGGTGACTTTTGAATCATCTCAAAATTCATCTGGGTAGGGTGGGTGGTTGGAAGGGGTGGATTTGGAAGGGGTGGATATGGAAGGACGGACTGGATACATACACCAAGCCAAGCGCTCACTCCTCATTGCTGCATTGGCTGACCAACTTGTTTTTTCGGATGTCCCCCCATTCCCCTCCCTCCCCCCCTTCTCTCCTGCCCTCTCCTGCCCTCCCTCTCTCCTACATCGTCCCGCTTTCTTACTCCCCCGTTTTCATGCTTTCCATCCTTCCCTGCAGACCCCCCGTCCGCTCTTACTCCTGCCCCCACTTCCCCTCCCCCTCCCCCTCCCCCTCCCCCTCCCCCTCCCCCTCCCCCTCCCCCTACCCCTCCCCCTCCCCCTCCCCCTACCCCTCCCCCTCCCCCCCCCCCCCCCCCCCCTATCCACTCCCCCGTCCCCTTCCTCCCCTTCCCTCCCCCTCCCCCTCCAGGAGCTGGGCACGAAGAAGAGGCCATTCGCGTGCATCAGTGGAGTGTGCTGACGGTGCTATGATGTGACCAGATCGCATGGCGCCGCAAGTGAGTGGTTTAGTTAGGTTGACTGGGGCCGAGTGCGGTGGGCTGGGTACGGTCAGAGACTGGGTGGTCAGGAGGCTTGCAGTATGCCGGCGATGCTGCGAGTAGATCGCATGGCGCCACAAGTGAGTTGTTTGAAAAGGGGTTGAAGAGGGTAGGGTTTTGAATTGGGGAGAGAAAATGAGGGGAGAGAGGGCTTAACAACTAAGATTTCTTGCCTCATTCCTCCTAGGGCTCCCTCTCTCTGTTCAAGTGTTCCCCTATTCCCTTCTTTCCTGTGGCCCCCCTTTTCTGTCTGCAGTATCCATCGCTCTTCTCTCGGTCTCCCTCCTCCCCTAGGTGCAAATACGGTAAGTACAAGCCTCTGAACGAGCCTGCCAAATGGTGAGAGATGGGGGGGGGGTGGTGAAAGGGGAGGGAGGGGATAGCGCAGGAGAAGGGCGGTTGAGTTGTGAAACCCACACAAGCAATGTTCAACCAGTCCGTTAAGACCTCAAAATGATTATACATTCTCGCATTCTCTGTCGAATGAATGTTCCCGTCTTTCAGAAAACTCGCAAGCTCTCTCATCTCCTATGATTCCCCTTGTCTTCTCCCTCATCCATCCACACCTGTTTCCCCTCATATTTACTTGGCTCGATTACTAAGGTCTTCCTCCTTCCCTCAATTTCTCTCGGCGCTCATCCAACCATTCTCTCATTCATTCTTTTCCTTGCTCAATTGTGCCTCGACCAATCGCAGCGGAGCATGTGGCAATAGGAGCGTGTGAGACGCACGCGGCATACTATGCTATCTGCAAAGGTGAGCACTCCATTCATGCAGTGCCATGTCATGCCATCATGCAAGGAATGTAATGGCATGAAACCATGCTAACTGTATGGCAATTTCATAGGGCTATGTCGTGCCACTGCAACCAACCTTGCATTGTTAAAAATTTAGAAGCTTTTGCTCGAGCAAGTATCCATTCATCCTCCAGCAAGTATTCTACACAGATTATATTCAGCAGGAACGCGTAGTTCAGTTTCCACGCTAGCTAACTATCCCGACTGACTCAAGGATTTATATGACAACAGAGTAGAAATCGTAGTAAGGTTTCTTCATGGAATCCTACACTTTCCTACCCCTATCTTTGAGACTTATATAGCATTCGCTTGTTTGTTTTTTCCAGCTCTTGAAATTGATCCGAGAAGTGGAATAATACATTATTCATATGAAGAATTACTTCTACACAGCTGTAGTTTCATACCGAAGCAACCTGGTACCTACGTATTTTTATGTTTGTGTTACTGGTTGCATTTATTTCGATTTAGTTTTCTTTCGTTACTGAAGATACACTGAAGACAATTACTGATCTCCCTTATGTGGGTTCAGCTTTTTTCTTCGCACGAGGTATCAAGTGTTCTCCTCAACATTCGATGCCTCACAACCTCATCATGGGCATTAACTAATGTTAGGTTAGCCTTGGATGATAAAAAGTGACCCTTTTTTTTGTTTTGCTCGTAGCATTGTTGATGTTAATCATCCACTTCTGTATCTTCACACGTAGTACAACATGTGGAAATGAAGATACAGACGTGGATGATTCACATCAACAGTGCTACAAGCAAAACAAAAAAAAGGCCAGTTTTTGTCATCTAAGATTGACTTAAGATTGATCTAAGGCCAAGTTTGTTAATGCTGATGATGAGGTTGCGAGACATCGGATGTTGGGGGGAATACTTGATACCTCGTGCGAAGAAAAAAACTGAACCCACATAAGGGAGATCAGTAATTGTCTTCAGTGTATCTTCAGTAACGAAAGAAAAATTAGATCGAACTAAAAATCACCGATGTTTGAAATAGCATTCATGGTTTCAACAGCCTGTGGCAGTCATCACTTGCACTGCGCCTATTAGCCTGAAGATCCGTCACGCGCTGTCTGGACACCTTGAGCTCTTGTCTGCTCTCCTTGAGCTCCTGCCTGGACTCGTTGAGCTCATGTCTGTTCTCCTTGAGCTCCTGTCTCGACTTCTTGAGCTCCTGTCTGGACTCCTTGAGCTCCTGTCTGGACGCCTTAAGCTCATTTTATAACTACTTTTGTCAGTCATTGTTCTGTTGCTATGGCCAACACTTTATAGCGTCATTCCATGTGTGTCATGTGCCTGGTTTGTCGCATGTGGGTGTTCTTGTAGGTGTGTGCATGGGTGCTTGCATGCATTGGTTGAGCAAACGTTGGATGATTTTAGGGAGGAGTCGAAGAGAGATTGTGCAGCAGCGGCAGCAGCAGAAGCTAAAGCACTTGCAGCAGAAGATTGTGCTGCTGGCGCTGCTGCTGCTTTTGGCGCTGTTGCTGGCGCTGCTGCTGCTGGCGCTGCTGCTGCTTCTGGCGCTGTTGCTGCTGCTGCCGCTGCTGCTGCTGGTGCTGCTGCTGGTGGCACTGCTGCTGGTGGCGTTGCTGCTGGTGGCGCTGCTGTTACCGGAGTAGCAAATAAAGGCACTGCTGTCTCTCCTAAGGTTGAAGGTGCTGGAGGAAGTGGAATCAAGGTATGTTGCAATGTAATGTATAGCGTTTTGGTGATCTGTTGCTGATGCGGGTGGTATGAAGTCTTGAAGAAGGTGGGCAGCATGGTGAGCTATGGTTGATACCAATCCTCAAAGTTCTTTCCATTATTGTTTGTTTCTAGGTGTTTTTTCAGTGAACATGCCTATTGGGTTTTAGCCTAGGCACTGCTGGTATGTTTTTGGGTGGTGCTTATAAAATGGGTGCCTGGTGGTTTCGTTCTAAGCACTTTTGGGCAGCCCTGTCTGTTTCTATGGACTTTTATTATGAGCTTGTTTGTTCCCAATCCGCCCTCCCTGCGCTTCTCCCTCCTGTTCTACGTTCGCTCTTCCATGCTACCGACCCGTTCCATGGGAACAGGAGATAGAGAGGTCTACGGAGGAGAATGTGGAGAAGCTTCAGCAGGCGATTTCTGCTGTCAGGTACGCCCTAAAAAGGCAGTTCTCGGGCTATTAGGTTCAAATCGATTCTTTTCACAGGCTGTTGAGTGAAACCATGCCCGGTATCTAGTTGGATTCTTGGTGAGCTTGAAGGTACTAAGTTTGTCAGTCATTGGAGCAGTTTCTGTGGCCAATCATTGCATGAGCTGCTATGGCCAACAGCTGACTGACAGTCTCATTGCATGCTTGTCATGTGCATATTTGACCGTGAGTGGGTGTTTTGTGGGTGTGCGCATGGATGCTTGCATTCAATGGCTGAGCAAACGCTCGCTGATTGTAGGGAGGAGCGGGAACGTTACCGTGCAGCAGCAGCGGCAGCGTCCAAGGAGGAAAAGCTGAGAATCAAGCTGACCAAGGCGGAGGCAACGCTGAAAGGCGTCATTGACGAGCTTCTAGAAGATAAACTGTAGGTATGATGCTCAAGAAAAACTCCAGGGACGATTCATTTTAGGTGGGTAAGTGGGGCGTCGTTGGACTGATCGGGATACCTTAGTAGTGATTACAAAATATTTGTTATTTTTTTCCCTCACTGCCCTTTCATTTACTTCTTTTCCCTTCCTCTCCCTTCCCTCCCATTCCCTTTCAACATTCCATTCCCTTCCCTAGCTTCTCAACCCTTTCCCCCCTTTTTTTCCCTTCCTCTCCCGTTCCCTTCCATTTCCATCTTTCTTATTCCCTCCCATTTCCTTTCCTACCCGTCCAGTCCCGTCTCCTCCCAGCCCGTCCCTTCCCTTCCCAGCCCATCTTTTCCTTTCCCTTTCCACCTCACTTCATTCCTCTTTCCCCACGCGGCCTACTGCCCTTTCCTTCCCTAACCCGTCCCTTTCCTTCCCATTCATGTCGTCGCGTTCTCTTCCCTTCTCATCCCTTTCGTCTTGTCTCCTTCCATTCCCTTCCTTTCCCTTTCTTTCCCTTCCCTTTCATCCTGTCACCTTATATTCCGTTCCCTTTCCTTTCCTATACTTTCTTCGTTTCCTTCTTTTCGTGCCCATCCAGTTTCTCTCCAGCCTTCACTCCTCCATTTCTCGTTCTTTTTCCTTCCCTCCCCTTTCTCCCCACCAATCCGCCTGTCTCATTTATTCCTATAGTTTGCATTCCACATTTTCAATTCATCCACACTCCTGGATTCCCCCCTCTGTCCGTTGGCTGCATGCTTGTGGTGGGGTGATTAGACCCTCACCACCTCACACTCCCCTCTCTCCCCTCTCTCCCCCTTCTCTCCCCATTCTCACCCCCGTTTCGTCCACCCCGCTCCCCCTTCTCCCCCTTCTCACCCGTGGGGGTGAATAGTTTAGTGTCTGGTTCGAACAGTCCTCCTCCATTAATGAGTGCGTGTGTGTCAACCATTTATGACAATCATGACCTGCTTCTTTTTATTGATAAAAGTATTGATGTTTTTCATCCATTTTATTTCCATTCCCATGTGTAACATTATGTGCATATTTTGAGGCCATATCTTCGAAAGTATGTGAGCGTGATTAAGTGAAGCGGTGTTGTGCGGATGGATCACACCCTGTCCCGTTTTGTTCTTGACATGAAGTTTAAGAGTGCAGTGGTGTGCGAGTTCTTGACATCTCAGAGGGTAACATTTGCGCAGCTGTTGTTATTCACCATCGTCATGAAATCTTGTTTGATCCAGAAAGCATGGAGAACGTCCCCTTGGTTGATACTCCGCAGTTCCGGTCGGTGCGGAGCATCAACCAGGGGGGACATTCTCTAGGCTTTCTGGATCAAACAAGATCTAATGACAACGGTGAATAACAACAGCTGCGCAAATGTCTACCCCCTGAGATGTCAAGAACTCGCACTTAATCACTGCACTCTTAAACTTCATGTCCAGAACAAAACGTGATGGGGTGTGATCCATCCGCACAATGTCGCTCCACTTAATCACGCTCACATACTCTCGAGGATGTAACCTTTTTTTTTTTTTTTTTTGCATGTGTGCATTTTTTTTTTCCCGTCCTTTCATTCACTTCTTTGTCCTTCCTCTCGCTTCCCTCCCATTTCATTTCCTTCCCTTTCCTTACTTCCGCTCCCCTTTCAAACCCATCCCTTCCTTTCCCTTTCCTTTCCGTCCAGTCCCTTCTCCTCCCAGCCCGTTCTTTCCCTTCCCAGCCCATCCCTTCCTTTCCCTTCCCACCTCTCTTCATTCCTCTTCCCCCACGCTCTACTGCCCTTCCCTTCCCTAAACTGTCCCTGTCCTTCCCATTCATGACGTCATATTCTCTTCCCTTCTCATCCCTTTCATCCTGTCACCTTCCATTCCCTTCCTTTCCCTATATTCCGTTCACCTTATATTCCCTTCCCTAGACCCTTACCACCTCACACTCCCTCTCCTCCTTCTCTCCCCCTCCTCTCCCCCTTCTCTCCCCATTCTCACCCCCTGTACACCCCTCTCCCCCTTCCCCCCTTCTCCACCTTACCCCACAGTACAAACACAGGCGACTTGTAAGATGGAAGTTGAAGGGTGATAACTGCAGCAGTCTACCTTGCATATGCGGCATGCACAGTTTTGCTTTTGTGATAGATTTTCTGCTTGCTACATGCTTTATTAACATGGCCATTTTTGCTTCGAGCCGCGCGTCTCATTCATATCGACTAAATTCTGGTTAGGGCAATCACGTATCCACACATATACTGTCATAACAGTTACGGTATCAGAGGCATTATTAGGCGATTCAAATGTACCTATTTTCCCCTTCGTCCTCATTGCCTCCGCTTGAGGATGTCCATGCCGCAGGAAAGATAAGGGCAGGAAATACAATATTTAGCAGAAAACAATGAAACTATAAACTGGTGTAAGTGTTGAACTGCAGTGGCACCCAAAGAAGAGCCTCAGTAATTGTCTCTCCATATCAGATACATTCAGCTACCCCAGCAGCATAATAGATGAAACTGATTCGATTCTTCCAGCATCCATGCTACACCTCGTCCCCACCCACCCAGTCCTAAAAAAATATTCAGCCGAGCCAGCAGCATAGTGTTGCAGATGAGAGGCTTTCTCTTCTCCTTGGCAGCAGCCTTCCTGAGATCAGCCATGGCGAATTCATGCCCCTCCTGGCAGCTCTTGTACAAACTCCAGTGACAAGCACGACTCCAGCACCTCATGAAACACCACTCCACTCCAGTTCTCTACCCAGTAGTCACCAATTGCAGCCGCCCCAGCCGCAACTCACCACCCACTCGTCATCAGATCCCCTCAACCGAACCAGCAGCGTAGCAAATCAACGGCTTCCTCTTCTCCTTGGCAGCAGCCTTCCTCAGATCAGCCATGGTGAATTCATGCCCCTCCTGGCAGCTCTCATACAGATACACATACTCCAGCGACGGACACGACCCCAGCAGCTCCAACAACGCCTCAAAATACCTATGCGCACACAGCCCGATCGAAAAAACCTTCAGCTTCGGGCAGCTGGACGAAAGAACTTTCACCAGGTCGGGCAGGTCGGCGTGGTCATCTCGCTCGCAGAAGGGCAGGATGAGGGTTTCGAGGGAGTGCCAGTGGCGGGCGGCGGAGACGAGGGAGATGTATGTGAGGGAGTGGGCGAGGGCGAAAACGTTGAGGTGGGTGAGGTTGGGGTTGAGTGCTGCTAGCGCCACCAGGCCTGCGTCTGTGATGTCTGCGTTGCAACGGATGAGCAGCGCGCGCAGCGACGGGCACGAACGCCCGACCTCCTCTAGCGTCTCGTTTGTGGCCCACTGGAGGACGGAGAAAAGAGAATGGGTGGGGTGGGGGGAACGGGGGAGGGGGAGACGGTGGTATCGTGAGGTTGGATGAGTGAAATTGCTAAGCGTCCCACCTTCGAGGCACTGGGGATTAAGGAGACAGGGCTAGCTGGCTGGCTGGCAGGTTACAGGTCGCAAAGAGTTTGGGCGCATCACAGTCTTGACACATGGACATCAACACACACTGGCATCACATCCCTTCCCCAAACCAATCTCCTCCCCCTCCAAGCACCCCATCTTATTCACCATCAGCGTATCTTGTTCATGACATGCATGGAGTCCCGGCATGCAGCAGTGACAGACATCTCCCAACGCCCTCAGCTGCTTGCACTTCCACCCATCAGCCCACCAACCACCCCGCCTATCAGCGCACCAACCACCCCGCCTATCAGCGCACCAGCCACCCCGCCTATCAGCGCACCAACCACCCCGCCTATCAGCGCACCAACCACCCCGCCTATCAGCGCACCAACCACCCCGCCTATCAGCGCACCTTATTCATGACATGCATGGAGTCCCGGCATGCAGCAGTCACATCCCCTAACACCCGCAGCTGCTTGCACTTCCCCGCTACTGCCTCCACCCCCACCACTGTCGCATGCGGCCCCACATACACCTCCTCCAGCACCGCACACCACCGCGCTACCTCCCTCAGCATCCCATCCGTGGCCCCCAGCAGCAGGGGCCCGGACGCCCCCGGGGTTTCGATTTTGAGGTTGCCGAGGTCGAGGTAGGTGAGGAGAGGGAGGGAGGAGAAGGCGCGCTCGAGCAGGCGCGGGTTGCCCTTGACGGTCTGCGAGATGACCAGATGGCGCAGGGCAGAGCACTGGGCGAGCTCCTGGGTTAGCATCTGCAGGAAGTGGGGGTAGAGGGAAGGGAAGAGGGTGCGGAAGGGAGGGGAGGAGGGGAAGGAGGAGGCGGTAGGAGAGGGGAGGTAGGAGAGGGGAGGTAGGAGAGGGGGAGATCAGAGGCCCCCGGGGTTTCCATGTTGAGGTTGCCCAGGTCAAGGAAGGTGAGGAGGGGCAGCGAGGAAAAGGCTCGTTCCAGCAGGCGCGGGTGGCCCTTGACGGTCTGCGAGATGACCAGATGGTGCAGGGCAGAGCACTGGGCGAGCTCCTGGGTTAGCATCTGAGGGGGGGAAGGGGTGGGGGGGGGGGAGAAGAGGGGAGCGGAATGGGCGGAGATAAGGGTGGGAAAGGGAAGGGTGTCGAAAGTGGGAAAGCGGGAGTGTGGAGGGTGGGAAGGGTGGAATGGAGGGAAGCGTGGAATGGAGGGAAGCGTGGAATGGAGGGAAGCGTGGAATGGAGGGAAGCGTGGAATGGAGGGAAGCGTGGGAATGGAGGGAAGCGTGGAATGGAGGGAAGCGTGGGAATGGAGGGAAGAGTGGGAATGGAGTGGTGAGGAATGGAGCAACTGGGTGAGCTGAGAGGCAAGAGGCGAGTCGAGAGAAGCTGGGAATACGTACTGTGGAACAGGCAAAACCGCCTATAACCAAGAACCAAAGCAGCAGACCTTTCACGACGACGATTTCTTGGTTCACTTTGCGTCGCCTTCTATTCCCTACTTCCTTCATGATCCAACCTCCTTGCTCCTCCTGCCTCTCACCTTGATGGAAATCTCTTTGGCGATGTTCTCAATGTTGGTAACACTACGCCCGCCTTCCAGGATTAGAGATTGCAGCGACGCCCCACACTTGTCAAAGAACCCAATCCGCATAAACCCAGCTCCAACCCCTCCTCTCCCACCCGCCACTCCCTCCCCTGCACCCGCCACCTCTCCTCCTCCTCCCCCTCCTCCCACCACCTCCTCCTCCTCCATCATATCCCACACCTTCGGCCCGCCCCCCCCTCCTGAGCGCCCTCTGCCTGACTTTGACCCCACGCTGCCCTCCTTAAAGGATTTACCAGCGGGTTTTTCCGACCCAGGGAACCCGGGGGTAGTTTCCCCGCCCGGGGTAATTACCCCGCCGGGAGTCGCCATACCCGGAGTTGCAACAGCCGGGGTCGTAACACCAGGAGTTGAAACCGAACCGCTGGCATTGAAACTCCCACTCTGCAAGTTCACAGCACCGCCAGCACCACCACCCGCTCCCCCTCCCCCACCCCCTCCCGCCCCCACAAACTCTCCCCCGTACCCCATCCCCGTTTTAGGCAGCCCCTCTAGCAGGAAATGCGAGTCGACAAACTCGAGATTCTCCCAGGGCCGTTGATTTAAGATCCGTTTGAGATGCAGCAGCTCCAGCACGTGCAGCTCCCTTGAGTCATAGAGGCGGTCCGCGGAGCAGGGGCGGCGATAGAGCGCGCAGTTGAGGGCAAGCGAGGTGACGCGGGGGAAGAAGGCGAGGGGGAGGGATTCCAGGAAGCGCGATGGCTGGGAGAGATCGAGATGAGTCACGGCACGGCGGGAACGCTTTTCCAGCCAGAACCAGCGCGGAGACACCTGGGGGAGGTTCCAGTGGTGGGGGGAGGGAAGGGGGAGAGTGGGGGAAGAAGGCGAGGGGGAGCGACTGGAGGAAGCGCGATGGCTGGGAGAAGTCCAGGTGGGTCGCTGCGCAGCGGGAACGCTTTTCCAGCCAGAACCAACGCGGGGAGACCTGTGAGAGGCGTGACGGGAGAGGACAGGTCACGGTGCGTGACGGCGCGGCGGAAACGCACCAAAGTGGAGACCCGAAGGGGGGGTGGGCTTGGGGGGGTGGGGAGAGGAGAGGGTGAGAGCAAGGTGGAGGAAAGGATGGGATATCGGCGGGAGAGGTCCAGGTGGGACCAGCGGGAGGTCTGCTGATTGTGCGGGCTGCTACTCCCGCTGGAACCAGTGCGAGGAGAGATAGAGAGACCTGGGAAAAAAATCATTTTTTTTTTCATGACAAGGCCGGCAAGCAGTACATTGATAAATGAGCATGAGAAAAAAAAAAAAAAAAAAAAAAAAAAAAAAGAGGGTCTCATTGTCATTAACTATACTGGTAGTGGCACTATTTGAAAATGACGTTGCTGTGGTGTTGAAGGACATTACCAGCGCGCACGACGCTCGGTCTCTTGGCGATTCCACGCGCATCAAAATCTTAAGCAGCACCGGATCCGGCACGTTACTCAGCGAAGGCGGCGCGGCCGGCGCCGCGCCCGGCGACGCCGCCGCAGCCGCCGCGTTATCCGCGTCGCGAAACGACGACGTCCCTGGTCTCCCGGACGAGCGCGATCCGCCAATCCACTTGCGGCTCCGATTGGTCAGATTCTTCAAGAAATCGTCGTGGCTGGAAGATGCGGCGGACGGGGCGGCCGGCGCGCCGTCGCTATGCGCGGCGACGGCGGCGGATATCGCCCAGTCGTCCATGGGGACGAGCCGGCCCGACGCCGGGTGCATGACGGCCGGCACGCTCCAGCGCTTGGCGGCATTGCGGAGAGTGCGCGCGCGCGGAGGCTCCTCCGCTTCCATGATGCGAGATTAGCGAGAGAAATGTGACGGAATGTCGAGAAAAAAAGGCTGGAATTCTTCCGCCTGGAGGGCCTGGGAAGAAAGTAGATGGGGATTTCAAAACGAGAGGTTTTCACTGCTATGGCGGACAATGTGCGCCGTGCGGTACGCTCGAAACCTAGTCCCTGGGAACAAGTGAGCCACGACCAAGTCTAGTGGTTGGGCTGACATTTTTTGTGACGCCTTCCCAGAGGCTTCCCTGGCAAATTCGAGGCTCGGCGATGTCAAGGCTAAGTTGGTGATGTTCGCACATGGCATCTGGCGACGACTTGTTACCAAAGAATTCGTCACTTCGCTATCCCGGTTCCAGTAGTGACTGGACGAAGTTGCAAGATGTTGAACTACACGGATGGATACTGGGACCACTAGGAACGCATTCCTATGAGAGTAGCATAGCATAAACAGGTGCCACTAGGAACGCATTTCATCAACGATTAATTTTTCACCTATGGCCCTTATAACGATGCGAGAACCACTTCACGCATCAACGACACAGGAGCTGCAAAGCACATGCACGAAGAGGGGTGGGGGGCACAACAGAGGAGGGGAGTGGCGACATCAGCACATGCTCATCAAACAAACGACACGAGCGCACAAGATGAACCATAACCCATAGAGATGCTTCTAGCATAGGCTAAAAATGTAAAATGCATACATGTGAAACCACACCCACCTGGTTTTCCCGTGAAAAGCTCAAATTGTCGAGCCGCCTGGCCAACAAACATCTCCATGCCGCTGACTGTTGTGGCTCCTGCCTGCTTCGCCTCCTTGAGCAAGCGAGTTTCCATGGGGGTGTAGACTGCATCAAACACCAGACTGCACTCTTGTAACACAGCCTGTTGAAGATCAGGTGAAAGGGAAAAAGGAAGGATGCTCGCATGTGTTGGTGGAACTGTGATTGTGGAGGCTAACGCCTGCTTCGCCTCCTTGAGCAGTCGGGTTTCCATGGGGGTGTACACCGCATCAAACACCAAGTCGCACTCCTATATGTTGCTGGAAGTGTGACAGTTGTGTGTGACACTAGTGTAAGTGAGACAATGAGAGAACGGTGACAATTCTGTCATGCTGCCCGCAATGAGAGAACGGTAAACAGCCAGAAGTACATTCTCAAAAATTCTGTCATGCTGCCCGCAATGAGAGAACGGTAAACAACCACAAGTACATTCCCGCATTGTTTACCCTGCTGACAGGAGAGTCGTCCACATTTTTGAGACGTCTCAAAAATTCTGTCATGCTGCCCATCAACCACAAGTACATTCCCGCATTGTTTACCTTGCTGACAGGAGAGTCGTCCACATGAGGGTGCATGCCCACAGAGGTCGTATTCGCCAGCACAGCACGCCCACTCCTCCCTCTCTGCATCTCCCGCAGCAACGCCGCCAGCTCATCGCCGCCCGCTGCCACATCACCATCACCCGAACCGGACGGCAGAGGCACGGCAGTGCCGCCTACAGCCGCAGCCAGCGCCTCCGCCTTCCCATAGCTCCTATTCGTTATAATCACATCCGCACCCTTTGCTTTAGCACCGAAGGCCAGTGCCCTCCCAGCACCCCCCGCCCCCACAACCACAAAGAGCCGGCCGGCGAGGGGCGAGGAGGAAGCTTCCGCGCTGCTGCCTCCCTCTGCCTGCCTGAGCCCGTCCTCTATGGCCTCTATAGCCGCCATGCAGTCTGTGTTGTACCCCTTCAGCCGCCCACCCTCCCCTCGAATGATGGTGTTGGCAGCGCCGATGCTCTGCATGGGGGAAATGCATGCCAAGGGGAAAGGAGTGACGAGGAGAAAGAGAGAAGAGGGGAGCAAGGGGAAGGGGGAGAGAAAGGGATTACAGCAGGGTAGAGAGGGAAGTGGTGAGGGTTCAGGGTTGAAGGAACAGGCAAACAGAGTGTACCCCATGCGTCTGCCTCTCACCCCTCCTATCACTGTCAAGACTGCATTGACCGTGTTGACTGCCACTACACTCTCAACAAGATCACCCTTCGCAAGGTCACTCCTAACAGAATCAATCTCTACAAAGTCACTCTTAACAAAGCCACTCTTTTCAAGGTCACTCTCAACAAAGTCACTTCTCACAAGGTCACTACTGTTCAAGTGGTCACTACTGTTCAAGTGGTCACCTTGGCTAGAGGCTCCACATCTTGACAGCACTCCAATGCAGCGAGCTTGTGGGGAATGGTCACACTGGGGTGATGGGGCCGAGAGCCAGAGAGTGGAAAGGGGAGGGGAAGAGAGCGGGAAGCAAGGGAGGAAAAGGGTGTGCAGGGGGGTGAGGTGAGGTGAAGTGAGGTGAGGTAAGGTAAGGTAAGGTGAGGTGAGGTGGACAGGTGGTGCAGGCACATAATGGACCGTGCCGTTTGGAGGGAGAGAGGGCGGAAGAAGACAGATGAGACACCTTGAGAGGCCAAGGGAGAGGCCAAGGGAGAGGCCAAGGGAGAGGCGAAGGGAGAGGCCAAGGAGAGGCCAAGGGAGAGGCCAAGGGAGAGGCCAAGGGAGAGGCCAAGGGAGAGGCCAAGGGAGAGGCCAAGGGAGAGGCCAAGGGAGAGGCCAAGGGAGAGGCCAAGGGAGAGGCCAAGGGAGAGGCCAAGGGAGAGGCCAAGGGAGATGCTTGCTTGAAGCGATGAGTGCATGCTCCACCACATGCCAACCTTTGTCATGCAGTATCACCGCACTCCACCCACCTGAATCCTTTGAAGTCCGGGTCACTGAACACCTTGAGAAACATCCACGAGGAAGGGCACGTAAACGCCGTCATACCCCAAATGCCAGCCACCAATACTACCACCTCCACGCACCACTCTCTCCACCGTCCTGCACCCCTTGAAGTCGGGGTCACTCAACACCTTGAGGAATTGCAGCACGCTATCCACAAGAAACAGCACGTACATGCCGTCATACCCCACATGCCGCAGCGCTGCATTGTGCAGCACAGGGCCCTTGCTGTGTCATACAATCACCTCTTTCCCCCTCTCTCCACCCACCTGAACCGCTTGAAGTCCGGGTGGTCAAATGCCTTGAGGGATTCTGGTACGCTATCCACGAGAAACGGCACGTAAACGCCGTCATACCCCACATGCCAACCTTTTGTATATTGTACCACCACACTCCACCCACCTGAACCCCTTGAAGTCCGGGTCATTGAAAGCCTTGAGGAACTCCGGCACCTCATCGACGAGGAACGGCACGTACACGCCGTCATACCCCACATGGCGCAGCGCCGCATTGTGCAGCACAGGGCCCTTGCTGTGCGCCACCGGGTTCCCCACCAGCCCAAACACCTGCGTTGCCGGGCCCACCCCCGCCAGCCTGTACGTGCCCGCCAGCTCAGCGACCGTCGGCTGACCTGGCGCTGACTCAGCGCCGGGGGTGATGGCCCCGAAAGTGAGGAAGGCGTTGAATTTGGGCGCGAGGAGGCGGCTGATGAGGCCCTTGGGACCCATGACCAGCGCTATGGTGGGGCGCTGGGGGGAATGGGGGGGGCAGGGATGAGGTGAGGAATGGGGGTTGGCGGAGAGGGTTAGGCACGGCTGAGCCGACAATCCAGCACCGGAGTCATCACATTTGGGTGCGAGAAGACGGCTCATGAGGCCCGTGGGAACCATCACCAGAGCTATGGTGGGGCGCTGTGTGGGAGAGGGGGGAGAGGGGAGAGAAAGGCAAGCAATGCAGGACAGACGTGATTGCCTTTGGCAGTGAGCTTTGAGCAGGCGACTGATGAGGCCCTTGGGACCCATCACCAATGCGATGGTCGGACCAAGTCGCGTGCGCGCGAACCAAGTCGACTGGCAGTGCTGAATGGCAGTGCGTTGCCTGGCAGTGGTGAGTACTGACCACCACCGTTCACCATATTCGCCGCCCTCACGTATATCCCGCTGCAGATCGGCCGCCTTGTTAAACTCGCCTCCAACAGGTCAGCCTAACGCACCCCTCGCTCCCCCTGCCCTTCCCCTCCATCTCTGCTCTCCATTCCCTCTGTCCGAGTGTCATCACTTGCAGTGCTTTCACACGCCTTGATACCCCCACCCCTCCCCATTCCTCCCCCCATCCCTCTTCCCCCCTTCCCAGCCCCTACGGCGGGTGGCTGCCACGGCATCGCACAGTGGGGTTGCGGTTTGCGGGGTGGGGAGTGTCATCTGTGGAGGGTGCACGCGATCTTCTCTGCTCATTCTTCTTACCGCTGCACAACGGCCGTACGTGCACCCACCTCTTCTCTCACCTCCTCTGGCGAGTTGACCCCTGTGCAAATCCCCATCCACCCAGCAACCCACCCACCTGCGCCTCCTTGAGTATTTGGAACACGCGTGCGTTGTCAGTGATATCAGTGGCAGTGGTGGCAAACTTCACCACGTCTGCTCCAACAGCCTCTATGCGCGCCACCAGCGCCCGCAGCTCTGCTCTTGTTGGGCCCACGCTGTAGTTGCACCAATGCAAGCACACACCCACTGACCCACCCACCCACCTGCGCCTCTTTCAGTATTTGGAACACGCGTGCGTTGTCAGTGATATCAGTGGCAGTGGTGGCAAACTTCACAATGTCTGCCCCAGCAGCCTCTATGTGCGCCACCAGCGCCCGCAGCTCCTCCAATGGGTGGTTCACACTGTAGTTGGGCCTATGCAAGCACACCCACCTGTGCCTCCTTCAAAATCTGGAACACGCGTGCGTTGTCAGTGATATCAGTGGCAGTGGTGGCAAACTTCACAATATCGGCCCCAGCAGCCTCTATGCGCGCCACCAGCATCGCCTAAGCACGCTCACATTCACAGTCCCACCCGCACACCCACCTGAGCCTCTTTGAGTATTTGGAACACGCGTGCATTGTCAGTGATATCAGTGGCAGTGGTGGCAAACTTCACAATATCTGCCCCGGCAGCCTCTATGCGCGCCACCAGCGCCCGCAGCTCCTCCAGCGGTGGAGTCACGCTGTAGTTATGGCTTGATACAATCACACGCGTTGCAGTCACACCGTCACCAGCGGCAGCGGCACGGCGAGGCGCAACGTGCTTCTGGATGAAATCAGAGGCGACCTGAGGAAGGGGCGTAGAGAGGTGTGGGAAGAGTCATGCCGTAATTGTAGCTCGATACAATCACACGAGTTGCACTCACACCAGCAGCGGTCACCTCCAGCAGCGGTGGTGGCGGCGCGGTGGGGTGCAACGTGCTTCTGGATGAACTCGGATGCGACCTGTGGAAGGGGTGGAGAGGAGCAGGGGAGTGTGAGGTGCTTCTCGATAAACTCGGAGGCGACCTGAGGAGGTGGGGAGGGCAGATAGGGGGGGAGAGAGAGAGAGAGAGAGAGAGAGAGAGAGAGAGAGAGAGAGAGAGAGAGAGAGAGAGAGAGAGAGAGAGAGAGAGAGAGAGAGAGAGAGAGAGAGAGAGGCTCAGGGGAAGGAGGCTCAAGAGTCGAGATTCTAAGGTGCGCTCTAACGAATCAAGCTCTTCACTCGTCACCATTGCTAGCCACAACCCAGCCGCTGCACCCTGTACGCGTTATGGTTACCTGCAGCTCCACGTCAATGAACTCGGCGCTACACCCTGTATGCGCTATAGCTACCTACACCCTGTACGCGTTACAGCTACGTGCAGTTCGACGTCAATGAACCCATGTCCATGGCCATCGCCCTATGCTACACCCTGTACGCGTTATAGTACCTGCAGCTATATTCACCTGCAGCTCGACGTCAATGAACTCAGCGCCCATGTCCATGGCCATCGCCAGCACCTGCTGCCGCTTCTCCTCGTCTGCATCCGCGTACTTGCCGCCCTCCCACGTGGGGCTGCACGGGGGGTTATGGAAGTTGGGCGTGGGGTTAAAGGGTTGAAACTGGAAAAAAGGTTGGGCTTGGGGAAAGGAACAATATGAGTGGTAGGACCACTAGCAGCGTGCTGTCAGCATTCTAGTGACAGGACGCCAGAACTTTAACGAAATAAGTTTTGAAACGTCTTAAAACTAGCAGCGTGCTGTCAGCATTCTAGCGACTGACAGGATGCCAGCACTTTGGCAGGATAAAGGAGAATACCGGCATGTGACAATAACGGGCAGGCAGCGGTCGTTCAAGAGCGCAGGGAGGTCAACGCTCGGGTCAAACTCGGTCAAATGGTCAACACGGAGCTCTGCCGTGTCCGCTCCCACCGCCTTCGCCTGCGCCATCTGCTCGCGCATTCCCCCCACCGTCGTCGCCGTCACCGCCGCGCATATCCTGCACCCGCTGCGCGAATCCATGCCGCCAGCGGACGCGCTGACGTCAGTCGCCGGAGCTGCCGCGTCAGCCATGGTTCCTGTTGACGTGGCCGAGTCGACGGCCATGGATGCTCGACAGGCGGCGGGTCGCTGAGGAGCAGCTGAAGAGCGGACGGCGATTAAAGGAAGCAAGGCGACGCGGGATGCGGAAGAAAGGGTGGGCCTTGCGACGTTGGTGGGGGTGAATGTGGGAGCAGCAAGCGAGGGGAGCACGGCTGTGCTGAGACGGAACGCAACAGCCATCGGGGAAAGAGGAATAATAACCCCCGAAATCCTTAACGATATACTGTTGATGCCCGTGAGCCCGCACGCGTGGGGCCTGCTTGCTGCCTGCTTGCTAACCACTTCCGGTAACCCTAACCCTAGAATGCTAGCGGAAGCAGCGAATGGAAGAAGGGGAGAGAAAGGCAGGCGACAAACGAGGCAGCTGTGCTGTAAATAGCGGCTTGAAAATCACAATGCATTCTCAGTTGCTCTGGTCCCAATCTGTAACACCAGAGCAGCTTTGTTCGCAGGCCCCAGTGGAAATAGCAGTGGCGAATTATCACTACACGCCACACTTGCTTCACAAGCCTTTCGCATGGAAACACGAACGTCTGGTTTCAACCCAATCCATCTCCAGAAACATTTGAACGGTCGCGATTAGCCGAGTCCCCAGAGTTTCTTTTTTCGTCGTGAGGCTTTCGTGGCTATCGCAAAAAGAAATCGTTGCACCACGAGCCTCGCGAACACATATTCCGACGCACATTCTCCACACACCCAATGCCCTGGGACATTCTCATTCCATCACATTACTGTCTGAGACCTCATTTTCATACCACACATTCGCAGCTCACACTCTCCGCAATGACTTCTCTCGTTGGCTATGACTACGATTCGGACGACTCTGATCAGGGGGAGCGCGGCGCGCAGGAACCAGCGGAAGGACTGGCGCAGGCCGGTCCGCCGCAGCGCGCCGAAGCAGAGGGCTCTGGTGCAGCTGAATTTGGCGGTTCCGCAAAAGCTTCTGTGGGTTCAGACTCTCGACAGCTTCTATTACCTGACAAATCAGCACCTTCTAACGCATCAGGCCAAGGGAAAGGTTCGTCGCAACGCGTGGGAGCGCCCTCTAAGCCGCTGATACAGCAGCTACCAGCCAACCAGCCGCCCCGTGTGATTTTACCGAGCGCTGCGGATCTCTTAGGAGATTCCCCTGATAGTCTTAGCTTCGCTATTGGAACAGCAGGAAGAGGGGGTCCGAGTGGGAGATTGCAAGGACCAGCAGAGATTGCATTCGAAGGTTCCAGAAAACGTGCTGAGCCCAACCCTAACATGCTCTTGCCCAAGCCTCCATCAAAGGTTCTGAAGGGAGGCTCGGGAGCAGGTCTGGCTAGAGGAAGAATAAGAGGAGGAATAGACAGAGCAGGAGCAGAAGGAAAAGGAGGAGGGTCAGGTGCAGAAGCAGGGGCTGCGAATTCCTTTCTGCCGCCCCAACTCCGAGGCCGGTTAGTGCCTCCGAGTGGAATTACCGCTCCTCCACTTGTTCTTCTCTCCTACTCGTTCCTTGCTTGATCAAACTTGCGCTGTGGCTTCGGCCTTTCCGTGACACATGTCCGCACTTTTTTCCTCATACATTTATGAGCATCGTGTTGCGCACCTCAAGCCTCCCCTCCCATACACCACACTCCATCTCCAATGCATTACACTCTTCCCTATCCATTGCGTCACACACCCGTCCTTTTTCATGCCCACTAATGCCCTTGTCTCCCCCCAATCACTCGCCTGTGCGTCCGACAGCTCCAATGTGGCGACTGAGGACCTAGACCGCATATTCTCCAAAAAGGGGAAACAGAAGTCTTAGCTGTTGCACACAAGGAGCGGCTTCTTATTCTGCTGGCTCACACCACGTTGATTGAGCTTTGTGCCTGTGGAATGGCAAATCTGTACACAAAGATTTGTGTTTTGAGTCAAGAGGGTTGTATGCACGCAGAATTAAAAAGCAGAAGAAATTCTCCATGGTTAGGCACTGGGTGTCTGGCCATTGTTTGGTTCAGTAACCTTGACATTCTTGTGGTATTAGATGTTTGCATCAGGTTGAACTAATTACTGTAATTTGAAACACTTGGAACCGCGTAACACTCGTCGCATCACACTTCGCTGATTCTCCACCTACAACCACACAATTGTGGTCATCAGCTTTCCATCATCAGCTTTCTGGTCAAACCCTTCACGATTATGCAGCTGTCCCTGCTTCTTCCCTCTCTTTCCTTATCCCAGTTTGCTCCTTGGTTTCCGCATCTTGATCTCTCTAATCAGCGTCTAGACCCGAGAACACACATCGCGGACAGCTGATCAGAGAATCGTCAAGGTTTCTTTTTCGCGTTTTTTTCACGGCCGGGGGAAACCACACGAAATGTACTCCCAACAAGGGTAAGATATTGCCGTCCTTCAAAATATATTGCTGTTTATTGATCCGCGGACTTTTTATTCTATTTTTTTTTCTGCCTACTCATGCCCTACCGCCATTTAACTTTCAATAATGCTCCGGGTTTTTAGGGATTTCCCCTTTCCCGGACTCGGTTATTTTTGGGGCCCGGGTTGGGGGTTAAGGTGGAGGGATGGGTGGACCAAGGGAAACAAGGGCAACGGGGAAATGGAAGGGAAGGGAAACGGGAAAACGAAAGATCTGGGGAACGAGGAAGGGGAAGGGAAGGAAAATGGGAAGTTGTCATTTCGTTTTTGTCATATCCGCGTCTCGGTTGGAGCGTTTGTCAAGGGTTCGCACATCGCAACTTGATATTAGCCACTTGATATAAATCGGGCATCGCTACTCTTTCGCGTATCGCCCACTTAGCTGTCCTCTGGATTTCACTTTCCGTCCATCTGTCATCACCTTGGGTGTTTAGACCGCTGAACTTTTGTCTCATCTAGACTCGCTTTGGGTGAACTGACCATGGGGGTTTGGGTTGGGCAAGCAGGTTCGGCAATATGCCAGGAGGTGTGGGTGCTGGTTCGGGAGGCATGGCCGGCTACGGGGGAGGTTTGGGTGGTGCCGCGGCTCCGGGAGGTGGTGGTGGTGGTTCGGGCGGTTTCGGTCCGGGTGGTGCTGGTGCGGGTGCTCCTGGGGGCGGTGCTGCTGGCGCGGGTGGTCCTCCGGGCGTTGGTGGCGTGGGTTCGATTCCTGCTGGCGGCGCTGGCGCGGGTTCGGGTTTCCCTGCGGGCGCAGCACCCCCGGGTGCGCAGGGCATGGGCGGAATGGGCGCAGCGGACGCCGCCGCGCTCGCCAACATGAATTTGATGATGATGGCGGGGATGGGGGGGATGGGCGCAATGGGCGGGATGGGCGGGATGGGGGGAATGCAAGGAATGGCGGGGATGGGGGGCATGCCGGGAATGGGGGGAATGGCGGGGATGGGGCCAATGGGCGGAATGGGAGCCCCAGGCGGGGCGATGATGGGCGCGGGCGGGATGGGGATGATGGGCGGGGGTCCGGGGGCGGGGATGGGGGGGGGCGCGGGGATGATGGGCGGGCGCGCAGGTGCGCGGCAGATCCCGGTGGTGAAGCTGCGCGGGCTGCCGTTCCGCGTGGAGGAGGGGGACGTGGCGGACTTCTTTGCTGGGCTCGAGATCGTTGACATTCTATTCGTTCGCAAGGAGCATCGCTTGGTGGGGGAGGCGTTTGTTCTCTTCGCCTCCACTCTGCATTCCGAGCTTGCACTACAGGTGGGCACTACGGGGTGAGCGGGGGGGGGGGGAGGGAGAACGCGCAGTGTGGGCGCGGAGGGGGACGTGGCGGACTTGTTTGCGGGATTGGAAATATCGTGGACATTGTATTCATGCGCAAGGAAATGCGGCTTGTTGTGGGAGAAGCGTTTGTGCTCTTCGCCTCCACGTTACATTCGGAGCTCGCACTGCACGTGGGTGGGTTGCTGGGTGGGCGCGGGATGGGCGCGAGATGGGCGCAGGATGGGCGCGGGATGGGCGCGGGATGGGCATGGGATGGTCGCGGTATGGGCACGGGATGGACGCGGGATGCGGGCAGGTGGGATGGGGAAGGTTCAGGGATGTGTTCCGCGCCAACCAGGACCCAATCTCCCCTCTACCTCCCCCCTCCACCCCTCTACCTCCCCTGCGCCATAGTAACGAGGTGACTTTTGAGTCGACTCAAAAGGTACATGGAGGTGTTCCGGCCCAACCAGGACCCAATCTCCCCTCTACCTCCCGCCTCCGCCCCTGCCGTCCGCCCTTGTCACTCCCCCCATCCCCTTCCCCCTATCCCCCTCTCTTCATGCAGCGCAACAAGATGCACATGGGACGGCGGTACATCGAGGTGTTCCGTGCCAAGAAGGCGGAGTTTTATAACGCCATTGCCAACGAGGTGGCGCAAGATGGGGGCACGTACCACGGCGGAGGGCAAGGTGGGTCATGTGGGAGGGGGGCAAGGTGGGTCATGTGGGAGGGGGGCAAGGTGGGTCATGTGGGAGGGGGGCAAGGTGGGTCATGTGGGAGGGGGGCAAGGTGGGTGGGATGGGGAGGGCGGGTGATGGAGGAGGGCGAGTGGTGGGGGAGGGTGGGTGGTGGGGGAGGGTGGGTCATTGTTCTGGTGTTTTTATTCGCTCACTCCCGTTTATGCCGCATCGTCACAGCCAACCTTTTCTGCATCCGTTACCCCTCTCCCCCCCTTCCCCCCCCCCTCCCACCTCCTCCCCCCCCCCCCCACCCCCCCCCCCCATGCTCTCCCTTCTCCCCTTTCTGTTTTTTTCTGTTCACTCACAACCTTCTCTGCTTCCCTTACCCCCTCTCCCCCCCTTCCGCCCCCCCACCTCCACCCCCCCCTCTTGGAGCTCTCCCTTCTCACCCTTCTGGTTTTTTTCTGTTCACTCACTCGCGTTTATGCTGCTGTTTTGCCTATCACATCCAACCTTCTCTGCTTCCTTACCGCTCTCCCCCCTTCCCTCCCCCCACCTCCCCCCCCTGTGCTCTCCCTTCTCCCCCTTCTGGCTTTTTTCTGTTCATTCATTCCCTCGCGTTTATGCTGCTGGTTTTGCCTTGAAGGCAGAGTGATGTACAACCACAGACTTTTTTGCTTCCCCCTTCCCCCCTCCTCCTCCCCCCATACTTCTTCCCCCCCCACTCCCCTCCCCCGTGCTCTCCCTACTCCGCATCACACGTGTGTTGCGTCTTGTGCAGAGGAGAGAGGGGGGCGTGGAGCGCGCGGTTATGGGGGCGAGGGCATGGGCGGGCATGCACATGCACATGCGGCGTATGGGGGAGGCGCAGGAGGAGGAGGAGGGCGCGGGGGCGAGGGGGGAATAGGGCCTGCAGCGCGGGAATCGAGTATCGTGAAGATGAGGGGTCTGCCGTTCTCCGCCACCACCAAGGTGAGACGACGTGGGCATGGGCGGGCATGCACATGCGCATGCGGCCGTTGGGGGAGGCGGAGGGGGAGGGGGAGGGCGCGGGGCCGAGGGGGGGGATAGGCCCAGCGGCGAGGGAATCAAGCATTGTGAAGATGAGGGGCCTGCCGTTCTCCGCCACTACTAAGGTGAGACCAAGTAACTTTGTGGGGTGCGGTGCGACACGGTGGGGTGCTGTGGGGTGCGGTGAGGTGCGGTGGGGCGCGGTGGGGCGCGGTGGGGCGCAGTGGGGTGCAGTGGGGCGCAGTGGGGCGCAGTGGGGCGCAGTGGGGCGCAGTGGGGCGCAGTGGGGTGCAGTGGGTGGCGTATGTGATCACCATCTCCATTTCCTCGCCTTCCTTCCACGCTTCACGCCCAATGCCCAATGCCCCGTGCCCCATGCCCCATGTACTGTGCCCCGTGCCCCATGCCCATGCCCATCCTTCATGGCCCATGCCACGCCCCCTGTGTATGCCCCTTGCTCATGCCCTATGGTCCATGCCTCCTGGAGTTCTTCGGAGAGTACCCCCTGGCAGACGCAGCAGTGCACATCATCACCAACTCCAGCCTTCCTGTCCCATGCCCCATGCCCCGTGCACCATCCCCCTCCCCCTCCCCCCACCTAAAGGACATTCTGGAGTTCTTCGGAGAGTACCCCCTGGCAGACGCAGCAGTGCACATCATCACCAACTCCATTGGTCGACTCACAGGGGAGGCCTTTGTGGAGTTTGGCTCCGTGGATGAGGCGAGAGCAGCGCTGGGGAAGGACCGCGAGCGCATGGGCACGAGATACATTGAGCTGTATCTGTCGTCGCGGGATGAGGCAACAAGGATTGCCACTAGGGCCAGCACCCAGAGATGATGAGAAGGAGAAGGGAGGGTGGGAGGGATGAAGCCGCGAGGGTTGCCACTAGGGCCAGCACTCAGAGATGAGGGAGAGGGGGGGCAGTTTAGCAAGAGGGTGGGTTGGGAGAGGGAGGGTGGGGGGATTGGTAGTGTCTGGATGCAGGAACGGTGAGGAGGGACTGAGCGCATGGGTACGAGATATATCAAGCTGGAACCGTTGTTGAGGGACAGGGATTGTCACTAGGACTAGCACTCAGAGATGAGGGGTAGTTGGCAGAGGGCAGAGGGCCTTAGTATGATCATTTCCTGTCATCATTGTGTGTCTGCCATTATTCTCTCATGTTAGTGTGTACAGGCCCACATATTCTGTTTAGTAACATATTTGCGAACATTCCCTGCAGTTAGGTATGTACTTGCCTTGCCATCATTGCCTGCTGTATTTGTCTCTCTACCACCAAATCCTGCTGTTTGTCTGTCCCTATCACCTGCTGTTAGTGTGTCCCTGCAACCATTCTTGCCGTGAGTGTATTCCTTCCATCATTCCCCGCTGCTAGTGAGTCCCTACCACTATTCCCTGCTGTTAGTGTGTCCCTGCCATCATTCCCTGCTGCTATCGTGTCTCTGCCATCATTTTCTGCTCTTAGTGTGTCCCTCCCTGCCTCTATTCCCTGCCGTTACTGTGTCCCTGTCGTCATTCCCTGCTGTTGTTAGTGTGACCCATCCTCTCTTCCCTGCTGATAGTGTGTCCCTGCCACCAATTCCTGTTGTTTGTGTGGCCACTGGCATCATTCCCTGCAGTGAGTGTGTCCCTGCCATCAATCCCTGCTGTTAGTCTGTTTCTGCTATCTTTCCTGACTCGCCACGCCAGCCCAACACCTCTGTGCGTTGTGCCCATCAGACCCCCTGCACCACCCCATCCCCTGTTGCTTACCTTGCCACATACCATACCTCCCACCTTATCCACTTCAACATACCCCATACCATACCGCAACATTGCTCCAACCCAACTAAGAATCCTAGGCATCATGGCCTCGCGAGATCTTTGACGTCACCGAATAAACTAGCTACTGCTATGTCTACTTTTGTACCGTAACACAGTGACTCTGATTGCTACAAATGTAGCACCCTTGGTCATGATTCGTCTATCTTCCCTTCCCTCTCAGTAGCTGCTCACATGAAAACAGCAGGGGGCATGCAACAGAGTGAATTGAGTATGGATAAATTGTTGGTTCAAAGAGACGTAAATGAGAGAAGAGTGTTCCTGCATGGCAAGAGTGCAAATGACATGAAAGATTTAAGAAGGAATGCAACAGCAATGAGCAGCAAAATGCAGAGTGCAAGTGCTGCAGAGCGCATGTGAGCAGGGGAGTAGGAGAGGAGGACATTTACAAGCTTACCGAAACCACGAAGAACCAAATTTTTTTACTGTGTTTGTGCTGCTCTTCCAAGGATCTGTGCCAACCTTTGCAGACCTGGGAAACAGGGTGGGAGTGAGGAGCATGGGTGGGAGTGAGGAGCATGGGTGGGAGTGAGGAGCATGGGTGGGAGTGGGAGCATGGGTGGGAGTGGGAGCATGGGTGGGTGTAGAGAGGCATGGCCCATGAGCGCTGGTAGAGATGTGATGAGAGGCATAGCCCATGAGCGCTGGTAGAGAGGAGGGTCCAGCCCAGCCCCAGAAACGGCAGCAGGCAGCAGGCCCACCCACCACCGCCACACGTCCTCACTGCATCGCCGCTGCTCCCCCACAAACAATGGGCCATACACCAAAGAAGGGTCTGAATCAAAGAAGAAGGTCTACTCACAGGAAGAAGAAGCGTTGACTCACTGGAAGGAGAAGCGTTGACTCACTGGAAGGAGAAGCGTTGACTCACTGGAAGGAGAAGCGTTGACTCACTGGAAGGAGAAGCGTTGACTCACTGGAAGGAAAAGCATCGACTCAGAGGAAGGAGAAGCGTTGACTCACAGAAAGGAGAAGCAACGCCTCACAGGAACGAGAAGCATCGACTCACAGGAACGATAAGCATCAACTCACTCAAAGGAAAAGCGTTGACTTACTGAAACATGAGGGCGTTGGCTCACTAGAGGGACAAGTGCTGACCCACTGGAAGGAGAGCGAGTTGCATAACAGGAAGGCGAGGGTGATGGGTGACTGGAAGGTCAGGAGATTGACTTACAGGTGCATAACGAAAAGGTGAGTCCCGTGAGAAGCTACGGAGCAAGCAGTTGAAGAGCCACCCACAGATGCTGTCCCGTACTCCCTCCCTCTCCTCCCGCACTAGCGCTCGCTCTGCAGCCGCCTCTGCTGGAGAAACTGGTGTGCCAGCGTGCCACTCAGCTTCCTCTGCTGCTTCATGAGTGGCCTGCGGGGAGTGGGGCAGGGCGGAGGGAATGGGGCAAAGCGGAGGGAATGGGTGGGGGCGGAGGGAATGGGGCAGAGTGGGTGGAATGAGGCACAGCGGAAGAAATGGGGCAGGGCAAAAGGGAATGGGGCAGGGCGGAGGGAAGGGCAGAAGGCGAGTAAGTGCAGCCCAAGAAACAGGCACGAGATATGTAAGAATCTTAGCAAGAAAGACTTAACACGGAATGGAGGAAACTGGGGGGTGGCGGGGGGAGGGAGGGACGGGGGGAAGGAGGCCTACAGCAAAAAATGGAACTAGAGAGAAGGATGGGAAGTGGGAGGGGGTTGGAGGGATGGGGGGAAGGGGAGCATACAGCAAAAACTGGAATTAAAGAAAGAAGGATGGGAAGTGGGAGGGGGATGGAGGGACGGGGGGGAAGGAGGCTTACAGCAGAAACTGGAACTAGAACGAAGGATGGGAAGTGGGAGGGGTTGAGCAGAATTGGAAGAATGAGCACATGGGAGAACGGCATGGGAGGGGTGGAGAGCGGTGTTTGCGACCTACTCAGGGGTGAAAAACTTGAAAAAGTAGCATACCTTGATAGGTCACGGCCAGCCCATACTCTCCCTGGTAAAAGCGCTGCCTCCCTGCAGTGAAAGTTCCCTCTGCTGTGAAAGGTCCCTCTCTGTGCCACAAGCTCTCTGGAAGGCGGCAGAACCGAGCTCCCTGCTGCCCACTGCGCTTGGCTCCCGGTTGCTGCTGCTGCTGCTACCTATGCTGCCACAGGGGGGGGAAGGTTGAGGGACGGGGGGAACAGGATGCATGCAACAAGAACTGAACGCATGGGAAGGTGCAGGAGAACATGAGAACGAATGAGTCAAAACCAAAACGACATGGAAGGGTTGGGAGGAGCGTGGGAGGCTAAGGGAGTGTGGCAAATGGCTAAAGACATAAGTGCAAAGGGGAATTCACAGCGTTGACAACAGAAAGACTTGGCTTCAGAGTTCACAAAGTGGTCTTCATCCTACTGACTCAGCTTCCACATGGAGCTTCTTTGGGTGTCCTGCAAGCAGAGGAGCGGAGGCAAGAGAGAACAATGCGAGTACAGGAACTGAACGAAGATGAAATAAAAGGGCAAGGGAGGTCTTACCATGTCTGCTGAAGCAACCTCTTGTCCTCCTGCGTTTCCTCTCCTCCTCCTCTGCTTCCTCTCCTCCTCCTCTGCTTCCTCTCCTCCTCCTCTACTTCCTCTCCTCCTCCTCTGCTTCTTCTCCTCCTCGGCTTCCTCACCTCCTCCTCTGCTTCCTCCTCTCCTCCTCTGCTTCATCCTTTTCCTCCATGTGGATTGTCCATTGCTCCTCTACTCCACTGCTCTCTATTCTTCAAGCTAAAACAATCCTAGAGCTACAACCTACTAGTAAAGTGACACAGCTTACATATCACAGCCTACAGCCTACAGCCTACAGCCTGCACTATACAGAAGAGCTGCAGCCTACAGCCTAACAGCCTGCGACATACATAGAGACACAGCCAGCAGCCTACAGCCAACAGCCTACAGCCTACAGCCTGCAGCCTGCACTATAAATCACAGCAAGAGTAACAGACAGCAGATCGAGCTTATCAAGCAGCAAGTTAACCTTTTGTTGTTCTTTCCATTCTGCTAATTTTCACTGCTTGCTTCTTCGTTACCCCTTTCTGCACTGATCAGGGATAGGAGCTGCCCTGTAGTCAGAGTGGGGTTAGCGTACCTGTAGTTAGGCGCTGCCCTGTAGTCAGAGTGGGGTTAGCGTACCTGTAGTTAGGCGCTGCCCTGTAGTCAGAGTGGGGTTAGCGTACCTGTAGTTAGGCGCTGCCCTGTAGTCAGAGTGGGGTTAGCGTACCTGTAGTTAGGCGCCCGATGAAGCTTCTCATCAGATGAAGCTGCTGGAAGGAGATGGGTAGGGAAAAGAGGGATGCGTAGAGAGAGGATGGGTGGAGGGAGCAGGTAGGGGAGGTGAAAGTGACAGGGAGAGCAAATGAGAGAGCAAATGAAGGACACAACGGGAAAAGAGGAGTATTGAAGCAATAACGGATGAATGCATGAATGTGAAGCGAGTGCTGATGCTGAATGTCAAACCAGAGGCTGGATGGGCCACAGCTGTGTCGGAGTGTTGGCTGTCGGAGTGTTGGCTCTCGGAGTGTTGTTCATCAAGTGATGCTCCTGAGTGTTCCCTTCTCGCACCACAGCCCTGTGCAACAGGGTGGGATCAGAGGAGAGGGAGAAGAGCGAGTGGGGGAGAGGAGAGAAGGAAGTGTGGAACGAAATCCAAAAAGTAAGTCCAGCAAGCAAAGAAACATGGTCAAGGGGCAAGCTACGAAGAGGAAAATGAAACCGACTGATAATATAATGAAAAGGCGAAGGTAGAAAACACGTCGCACTTTGGTACTGTGAAAGGGGAGGCGATGGTAGCCCATGGCACTAGGTTGGCGAGCTAGCAGGCAAGGACGACGAGACGCGGGCGTGAGTGTGAGTGCATTCTAGCCCCCTAGGACTCTAGTGTGAGCTCAAGCCGCCCCAGTGCCATGTGCTACCATCGCCACGCGAACGTTTTTAATACCTTCATGCGAAGGCGGCGTTTTGGTTCAAAGCATGCTTGAAAAGAGAGCTGGGACTGCAATTGTGAACACGAATTACAAG